AACAGTTCCTTCAAGGGTGTCTCTGAATTCCATCCTTGGGTCTTGGCAAACTTGTAAATGCATCCAAAGAGATCAGGAAACCATGCAGTTAGATTGACTTTGGCTTTCTCGGCGTCCTCAATACTATGAACAAGAAGGAAAATGGGATTAGAGAACAGTAAGATGTAAGATGTCGTACAATAAAGTACTCTGAAGACTTAAATTTCATGAATATGTTGTTAATAAATCAAGTTTGCATGCCGTTATTTAACAAAGACATAAAACTACACAATCATAGTTTCAATGTTCATGAGATTTAGGGCCTTGCATCACTTTTAATTCAGTTCATCTTACTAGTGCACGTAGAGGTTGCGTATGAAGCGCAGGAATGCCAGAGTGGTTTCAGGGTAGGCTTTGTTTTTGGGATCCATCTTCTGAAACAGCCACTGTGGGAACTGCAACACCAAAAAATAATGGTCATTGAAATCGATTGAGGAATACATACGTCTGAGCTGGTTGATTGTAATCACCTTTTGTTTCCACTGTTTGAAGGATCCATCCTTCACACATTCTTCCAGACAATGAAGCAGTTCTGGACCAGCATTTCGACGGTTTACCACCTCCTTTCTGTCACCAATTGCTTTCAGGTATCGAACTTGCCTAGGAAAAGGAGAAATGATGCATTATGAAGTGGAAAACAGACAGAAAACCCAACGCAGATGATCCTGAATAAACTGGCTACAAAAGGTATTTACCACCCATGGAAGTTTTCACCTTTTATTGCTTATCAGCATTGACTCATCATAAATTTAATTAAGCTTTTAATTATTTTTTTTTTTCTTTTTTAAGACTCTTTCATGTCAAAGTGAAAACGGATTTCTATAAAGTAATGGCAGTTAATTAAATATATTTAATAAGTCATTGCATACATATCACTACCTTGAAAGTTACCCACTTAATGAAAGTGCAGCCAATTGGTGCTAGAAGTCAATCTGTTAGTGACACGGAGATCATTTGAGTGCACTGACTGTGCCTCAGGTGATTATAGTATAAATAGAGGGGGATGGATACAAGAAAATTCCAAGTCACTAAATATCCCTTGGAGTACAGGCAAATCCCTCAAGAAGAAGTGGAAGGAATATGATGGCAGAGAGCAGACCCTCCTCTGGAACTAAGCAACTGTGCAAGAATGAAACAAGTGAGGGAGGCGACCAAGACACCTATGACTCCTCTGAAGGAGTTAGAAGCTTTAGCGGCTGAGATAGGAGAGACGATGCATACAACAACTGGTGGCTGGATTCTTGAACAGTCAAAACTTCACGCAAGAGTGGCAAAGAAAAAGCCATTGTTTGCAGACACCAAATACTGCACATCATTGACAACACACCAATCTGATCTTGAAGCATGGTGGTGGCAGCATCATGATGTGGATGCTTCTCTGCAGAAGGCCCTGGAATCTTACCCTGGAAGGGTAAATAAAATCCAGCAATGTATAAGGAAATCCTCAAATAACTGTTGCTCCCATCGAGAAGAACCAGGTGCGAGTTCGTTGCTGGTGCTAGTGCCAGTGCTTAGTTGGTTCAAATCTTGCACCACCTAAGAACCTGTTCGTTTTTCTGTTCACCTGTTCTTAGCTCTGGCCCAGAAAAGAGTTGGTGTTTGCGAAGCACCAGTCTTGAGAACATGGAGCCAGTGCTTAGGAAAGAAAGAGCAAAGAACAAGGAACTGTTGCGAAGTCAGACTCCATCCACACAGGCTCAGTGCCGTATTTGCGGACAACTGTACATCTACAAAATACTGAAATGGAAGACGTGAATACTTATGCAATCACTTCCTTTACATTTTATGTAGTTCTTTTATTGGCCTTACTTAGAACGTCTCACTTGTGATGTTTTTTATAGGCACTGCAACAGTGACATGTAAATTGCGATAAACTGCTACGATAGATTGGTCCTGGATGATACAATATCAGAGTTTTGGCTAGCGTAGCAGCCCTTTCCCTAGTTTCAAGCACAAGTAATATCAAAACTTGCAGATTTTGTTCCAGTTGTATGATAACATTTCTTCCTTACTTGTCACAAGGCCAGAAGAAGGGATGACTCAAGCATTCTTCCACTCTTGGTCTGTCCGTTGGTTCTTTATTGATCATCCACTGAATGAGATCCTTTGCCACCACATCTTGAACATGATCCAAACGGTACTCCCCTTTGTGAATGTTGTACACACATTCATAGTGTTCGCCAAACGGATGGTGGCCCCCAGAGAGGATGTAATAGATCAGCATCCCTGCCACCTTTAGAAACACAACATTTAATCA